TTGAGACTGCTCCCTTGGTACCGCACCCCACCGGGGGACGCCCGGAGGGAAAACCACCGATGAGGTAAGCTGTTTCGGATATAATCTCAATAAACGACGGATGGAGTGACTTTAGCTGTTTTTAGGCTACTGAGGTAGCCTTACCTCACCACTGGACCCTTTTTAATTAAAAAGGGCGACCAAGTAGCGAGCAGCTACGCGGTTGGACTTGGTTGAGCGCTGTAACGACAGAAAGCCAAGAACGAACAGCGAAAGAGGAACGAAGTGTCCTAGGCGACTCGACGCGGAACGGAGCAATGCTCGACGCTCGGCGGAGTTCGCTTCGGAAGGCTTAGGCTGTGCACAACCCTACTGCAGATGCAATGAAGGCGTACAACAACGTTTACCACTCACTTGATCCTCATATAATAATGGCCTGATACAAATATTTCGAGAGTAGTAGCAATACCATAAAGATATCATAGGTATTTCTTAAAAATTAACATGATTGTTATTAAGTATAATGTTATGAGATATGATGTACCTAACATAATATGTCATTGTCAGCCCTGGGTTTTACTTATGTACGTATGAATGTAGTGGATTCTCATAATTTCACTTTCACTTAATTTTAAGCAACCGGTCAATATTAAGTTTGACTTATATCATAAGAATTAAGGGCAATATCGTAGGTCTATTTTTGCAGCTTATAACATTTTTTTTTAATTAACAATCCATATAAATTATAATTCGTCTATTATTTACTTAGCTGACTATTAAAATATATTTTAATGAAAAATATTATGAAATGTCTTAAAAGTATTTTTGTGAAACGCATATTAGTTTAATAAATGATAGATCTAGATAATATAGATAGATTTTAAAACAGAATAAATTAAAGTATTATGAAAAATTTTCCACCTTCTATCTCATAATATTTAATAACGTGACAAGTATGTTACGTCAAACTTACACACGGTGCCGTAAGTCTTTCCACAAGGCTACATCCGAAGTCCATCGCATCTAGATTAGACATTACGTTAGTGTTAATAGTGTGAAATTTTCCATTCTTACATTTTTTTTTCCTTTGAATCTTATTCACGATATTCGAAATACTGCGAATTTAAAAAAGGCTTTAAACATTAAACATTTAGACATTTCTTTGCTCTACAAATCGGTTTACAAAATTCTAAACGATTGTCACCACGTATAGTCGATCAATCACCGCAATTACCCTCACATCAAGGGCCGATCTTATCGAATAATGGAATATTTAACAGAAGCAGCTTAAGTACAGTTTCAGTTTTAAAAAATTAAACAAGCGCAGTACATTCAGTGACAAATCGAACAATAGTAAATTGTTTGTAGTATTCAACTATGCCGTATAAACATAAACCTCCTTTCGTTTTAGCGCACCGTAGCAATCATCAGGAGGTTGCAAAACGAACCGAACTTAATATTTTGAAAGAGAGCGCGAAGACTGTGGGGAAGGACTATTGCCAAGAGTCATCTATTAGCGGCCTAAAACATCTGGTTAGCAGCGATACAACATGTTTGGAACGGTACATACTACCTACTTATATCAAATTTACGTTTTTAAAACACTGATCTCGCTCAATCAGACTCTGTTGGGGACCGGTCCAGTTTGTCTTGCGTGTTTGTCTTACGTCACGGAGGACCAGTTTTTTACGTAATTATTACGGTCTTGTGATCACAGAGCTGTTTATGTACGTGTGTTTATTTTTGTATGGTTGTTGGTTTTTGTAACTGCCGTGAGACATTAAACCAATTTGTACGTACTACAATTTGTGGTCAGGTCGTAACTGGAAGTAGTACTTAGAACTTAAACATTAACCCAGTTATGTATTAACGTAATTGATTATTTGTGTGTGTGTGTTTATGAAAGTTATTTAAGAGAAATATTTCTAATATACAAGAATTTCAAACTTATTTTGAGACTTCTGGGCAATTCTATAAATAAATTTACCGATTACTAGTTCAACCATTCTGGGGGATCAATTTCTTAGATATCGTAGAAGGATGATTTAATTGGGCATTGATCGATGATTGATTATTAAGCCATAATGGCTTTTGTGCTCTTCTGAATTTGTCTTAAATAGACAGAATAGTCTTGAATAGAAAATAGACGTTTGTAAAAAAGAGAATTTGTAGTTAAAAATTGTGTTATTATCTTTTGGCATGTGATAATTTATTTGTAGCTATTATATATAGGTGTTATACTAAAGTCATGTTTGCTTTCGACAGAGTAATTTGGATAATCGCTTTGATAAGTGCGCTAATATTTTCTGTCTCACTCGTTTGGATGACATTCGGAAAGTACTACAGCGCACCTTTGGTGACAACTCAGATGCCGGAAGGCGTTTCCGTCAGCAAGATCATATTTCCAGCTGTTGGGATATGTACGAACAATCGAATTAGCAAGCGAGCAATAACCGAGCTAGCTCGAAAATTGTAAGTCAAAAGTTGTACGATTGAGATCATGTTATTATAGAGAATGTGTTAAACGGATAGGCAATTATTAGGCGGCTGCGGTATTTTTCCAAGACCAATGCCTCGTACGTTTTAAGGTATAAGTACCTGGAGGAGCTTTGCTCGGTATGTTTTGTAATTCGTGTATTTTAATTACATTTAGATACAAATTACTGCCGTGATAGCTCAGTGTCTGGGCACTCGCCTTCAATTCAATATACTCGAGAAACCTGAGTTCGGTCCCTGTTGCCGGCACCAATGAAGTTTTTAACTTTTAGTGCTGACTTATCACGTGCTCCGTGGTCATCATCATGAGGAAACCTGCATATTTTCGAAATAATAACAAAAAAAATATTTTTTGAAGATATGTGAAGTCCGCCAATCCGCAGTGGGGCCGCGTGGTGGACTATGCCCTGATACCCTCTGTATAGAGGAGGCCTTTGCCCAGCAGTGGGACATGTACAGGCTGTTACTTTACTTTTTTTTTACAAATTACTGAGTAATGAAATATGTATAATATTCACATAAATTATACGTCACAAAAGAAACAACTTTAAAAAAAAGGGAAAAAAGAAAAAATCATCTGGATCAAAAAAAAATAAATAATAAAGAAAGCAATGATCTGGAATCGAAAAAAAAAGTAAAAAAAAGAGTGTGTAAATGATCGTGACACGAATCACGGCCGTCTGTTTTGGGGCCGCCCGATTACCGACCGAGCTATTTTATATTACATTTCGTTTTGCGGCGAAATTTACCGTCATATTCGAATGATATTTTTCATTCCTTGAAAACAGGGATAAAAGGACATTTTCTAAAAATGAAACCTAGCTAGATCGATTTTTCACCCCCGAATCTACGCACATACTAAATAAATTTCATGAAAATCGCTGGAGCCGTTTCCGAGATTCCGATTATATATACAAGAATTGCTCGTTTAAAGGATAAGATATGGTTAAACTTGATGGATCTGCATCAAAACCGAACGTCAAACGGTTTTTACCTTTCTTGATTGTGCCTAGAATGTCTTCTCGATCAAGTTAAGGTCAAGCGAGCCAGCGATTCACCTGCCCATAAGTGATAACCACTGCCCATGGACATTTACAACATCTGTAGGTGCTTTGCTACCTAATAATACCCCGGTTACCTCACTCACCAGACTAAATGCAGAAGTATAACACTTCACGCCCGTCTTCTTTGAGGCCTTGCTACTTCTCCGGACGGATTTGCCCATTCATGCAACAGTGAATACTGCTGTGTAGCCCTACCACAGTCAAAAGATTGTATCTTGAAAAATTTGAAAAAATTGCGGATGTAAAAGGTGACCTTACACCGGATTCTTGTAACGAGGTTTTATTTTGAATGTTAACGATACTCTTTGCTGCACTCTAATTGCACTGGCAGGCAGTTATCGCTATCATAATTCTTTTTAATTTATAAATACCAAGGTCTGTTAGCTGCTGGCCTCATGATTTGGATATGGGACTGATAAACGGAAGGGTTGTCCATAGTAATAACCCATTTATTACATAATTATTTAATATGTCGACCTGTGATTAACATAATTAATAGTGCTCTCGTTTCTTGCGCCAGAGAGTATGGGTTTTATCCCCGCTACTTGAAAAATTCTGTGTGATGAAAATACGCCAACGGTGGTAACGGCCAACCGTTGGCGTATTTTCATCACACAGAACAAAACGGCCAAAATACGAAAAACGGTGGTAGAGCCACGCAGCAGCCTCGGCTGTTGCACGAATGGGCAGGCTTGTCCGGATAAGTACCACGACCTCATAGAAGACCGGCGTAAAGTGGAAGTATGACAAATACTTTCGCGTTTCGTCTGGTGAATGAGGTAGCCGGAGCCCAATTTCCAAAAAGGTTGTCAACGCATCTGCAAGCTCTCGGGTGTAGCAGATGTCTATGGGCGGCTATATTCACTTAACATCAGGTGAACCGTCTGCTCGTTTGGCAACTTTTCACATAAAAAAAATACATGACAACACAAATAAAATGTTTCTAATATGTATTTATTTTTAACAAAAGTATGTTCATCAATTACCTAACATCTATAGTACAAGCTTTGCTTTTTTTTATTAGATGACGTTGTGTAAAAACATGTCCTGAAATATTTATTTATTTATTTATCGAAGATAAAGAAGACTAAAAATTTTGTAATTATATAGCTAACAGAACTGAATAGAGAAAATATGAACGTTCAATATAAAATCAACATCCGCAGAATCAATTCCAAATCCGAATCCAAATCAATCCGAATCAAATACCACGTCCTATGTCCTTAGACATAATACGGATCACTGGGCTAGCCGTCTGGACATGCCCCTCCTCAAAACTTATGGCATCAAAACTTTAGTACGCATTGTGTACTTCATTTTTGCAAGATACTACTGTTTCCAATTGAATACTACCCGCCTTTCCAAAACTACTGTTAATCAGATAGAGATTTTTGTTTATATTCAAACATTCAAACAATTAGATTGCACGAGGAACGAAACCAAATGTACGACGAGGAAGGAATGCTGTCCTTGCTGGCCGGACTAGGCCTGTTATACAGCAGCGATCAGTTGGATGACGAAATCATGAAACCTACGGAACTCCACCGCGTGCTGGGCGACTACGATGTCAATGAACTTATGCAAGGCGTACGTACTCTTTGTAAAGGTCTCCGTTCAGTGGTTGCGGTGGATGAATTATTACATAATTGCCTGTGCCGATATGTTCGAGGAATGCATATGAACTGCACCTTTCACAAGGCTAAATGTGTCTAGCATTTTATACGACCGAGATAAAAACAAATGCCAAGATTTTTTTTAATCTAAGTCGTATAATATTGACTGGTATCAAAACAGTGGTGCTAGTGTAAAACTGAAAAGGTAGGTTGGGTTGGGTAAATTTCACATTAAAAAGTGTATTTTGCGATTAATTATTTACAGAATTTGTGAATGGCACTAGTTCAAAAGAATAATTTATTCATTAGAATTTTTCTCGTAGACGTTACTGTTACTAAAAGTATTTTTACTTCTTGATTTGAATATAACATTAATTGTGACATCGAGCGTTTTATTATCCATAGACATATTATACACAAATACATCATTTTGTAGTTCAACTTAAATTTCATAGTAAATTACTGATTGCAAAATAATACGGGGGCTACTAATCTTAGACCGTCATAATTTAGACTGACTTTATGTTACATAAACTCGCATGGAATGCTTCATGCCGTATTGATGAGGTAGGGTGAGTCAATTTTCACTGTACTATGCCTTTTTTTAAACTGAATATTTTTATATTTATTTTGACGCTTTAAGGCAAAACGATGAGTGAATTTTTACGATACACAGGTTCCAAATGTAATATATTCTTTTATTTTTATTTTATTATGCCAAAGAACTAAATTTCTTATAAGCCTACATAAGTAATATATTATATTATATACATACATAATTCTTCTTGTTTTATATTGAAATTGATGCTTTTTTCACAGACATTGGATTATCGATCCAACGTTTCCATTCCTTGTTTTCTAAATTGCTATATGTTATATAGGTATTAAATATTAAAAATAATACAATATCCTTTTATAAGCGATTAGTAACGGTAAAATGCTATGACTATACTATCCCAACGGCCTAATTGCTTTCGGGGCAATTTGGCTTTTGTCCAAATCACTTTTATCCCAAACTGATTTAGCGCCTGACGAGTTCGAACTTAACAGGAGCTCCCTCCTTTGATCTGTCTGACACTCAACTTGCCAGAGAGTGTCTTGCATACCATCCTAGCCTTCGTATTGAATCGCTACTATTGAGTAGAGGGCTACCTCCACGCGAGCTAACCTCTCACAACGTGCACTCCTCAATGCTATTGCTTCTCCCCTTGTTCTTATCGCTCTACACAAGTGACATTTCAAAATTCCACCCATAAGTAAATTTTGTTTGCCTTTCCTAAGACTCCACCCCCAAGTCAATCTCATGCTTTTCACGAAGAATAAAGACCTGTACTAGTCGGATAAAGATCTCGGCAGAGCGCCATCGATCATCTCAGTCATATTCAAAAACATACGAGAAACCGCGTTTATTTCGAGACAGAGCTTTAATTAAAAATACCCCACAATGAAAACGCCCTAAGACAAACCTTTGTTTACCGACCCATAAAGTACTACGGTCGTATGCTCTTCGCTCGCGAAAGCCCGTCAAATCTGCATAAACTTAAGGTCATTCAAAATAAGTTAACCCGTTTTGCTGTGCCAAGTGTTATCAGCGTTACATCAAATTGCATTTCGACCTTCAGCGCTTTCTGACTCCTGACGCTTCGCAGACATTTTAAAGAGAAATAAACGGCTCCTCGAAAGGGCCGAAAACCATTCTAACCCTAAGGACATAAAGGCTCTTACAAACGTCGCTCGCCCAACGTCTTGATTGACTCTACCGGTGGCCCGGCTTGACACCACACCTACTGCTAACGCATATTTGTTTGTCCTTATTTGAACCTGCATTTGAGACAAAGCGCACATGTGCACATGAGCGGACCTAAACAGCGGGGAGGGCCGCCGCGTGGGTTGGCTAGCCCGCGAATTCTGTGTTCGATGAAGTTTTAGTTGCTTACAGAGTGTAAGCAAAAACATCAGATGATGTAAAAGTACTATGACCATTCGGGTCAAAATAAAAATTGCTAATAATTAGATATTAACATAAAGTATAGCACTATATTATTCAATAATAATATAGTACTATATTATACAATAATTTAATTTAATTAAATTTTTGGCCATGAGTTTTAGAATAAAAATAAAACTAAAAGTTTCTAGTATAAACCTTTACCGTAAATTGCGGTGGGGCATACTATTAATTTATTATAATCAATCGAATAATTTTATTTTTGTTAGCTGACGCCACGTTGTGAAGATCTGCTGTTGAGATGTGCGTGGAACGAAGAGCCAAAGAATTGTTCTGAACTCTTCGATTTTCGACTTACCATGAACGGATATTGCTGCACATTCAACTATTTACGACAATCGGACGGCATGTTTAAAGAGTAAGATAATAATTAAGAAATATTGTCACGCACTTAATAACAGTGAACAATGTTTTGTTAGACCGATAAAAATAATTTGTAGAGCGTTTTTTATGTTGTTTCTGCTTTTTTAGTAAAGGGGCTGTTCTCAAACATATCAGGTGAATTAATTTATACTAAAGTAATTAATTAAGTCAGCTGCAAAATGTTTCATGTTCATTATTGGAACAGATTGACTAGAACAAAAAATATTTTTTTTTATTGAAATTTTTAGTTTTCAAATTTTATTCATTACTATAAATCGTCTTTTGAGAAATATTATAGCTGTAAAGGATATGGCGCTAAGTATTGCTAATGCAATGAAAACCAAGTAGATAAGACGCAGATATTTTCGCTTTGGCTAGAGCGTCTGGGGGGATGCAGGTTTGAATGACGTGACAATGCATATATTTTAAATTTCATCTTAAGCGGATAGCAAAAGCTAGATTGATACTATTATTTTTCATATAGGTATGAACGATATTGAGATTTATCAAGAGGTACACGAACGATTTAAGTCTAACAGTATAAGTATCACCCATAGCTCGTGAATAAAATCGAAATGATGATGATTTTAAAATTTGGCAGTTTCAGCTCATCAGAGTCGACTCGTAGCATTGATATGTATAAATACGGAAACAAATCTAATTTTGACTTTGACCAAGGATTAAAAGTGTTGATGCGTTTATATGAGAGCGATGATTTTTTCTACAATCTCCCTTTACAAGGAGCTCAAGTATGTATAGAATATAAAGTTACAATATGAGCGTAATAAATTAATGTTCATAGAATTATTACAAAACAATAAAAACTTATGCATTTTAGCTACAGTTTTCTGACGCATACGACTTCCCTGATGCACCGAGTGGAAGTTTTTCTATGCAAATAATCTCCCCTAATGTACAGGTATAGTAAATAACAATAATTTATTTCTCCATGGCTTTTTTTTAAAAATAACATTGCACTTACTTTAGGATAACATTATCCTGTGTTGTAAGAACGTTCTACAAACATAAATTTCACGTAGACAAACACCCAGATGCGAAACAGATAGTATAGGTCACAAAAATATTTTTCCCGTGAGAGAATCGAAACCGCCAGCTACCCCGACGCTGAAGCCAATACCTAGCCGCACGGAACTGCGCCACGGAATTATCTCTATTTATGAAATATCGCTAGTTAGTTAAAATATTTCTGATTATGCTCGAAACGATATTTTGCTTTCGGTCTGTACTAAGAGTGCCATTGTGCGCTTTCTGTTATTTTTCAATTGCATGATGAAGACAATGACCAGCCGATCGATTGGTTTTGCTGTCTCCTCGCTTGTTACCTACCATAAAACATAGACTGGATTACGTATTTACTGATTTGATGATGTTTTGTAAATATTTTGACTTGTTTGTATTGTATCGTATTGTTAACCGTTTTCAATGGTGTTTGAAATATAAAGAAAAAGCTTAGATCGCCTAAAATCGAGAAAGTTTATATCTGATTATATATTTTCGTCGGTGTGACTATCAGCCGTTTAGGTCAGTGGCTAGAGCGCCAGGCCGCGAATGCCGAAGACGTGGGTTCGATTCCCACAGCGGCGACAATCTTTTCGTACTTTTTCTACATGTTTTAATGTTCAATCTTAAGTGCAAAGATTAGCACTATAAACAATTTAAAAATCTGATTATCTAATGTCTAACTCATAATAATCAGTAATGACTTAATCTGTATTGTCATGTGTGAATGATACTTTCATTAATACTTTATCTAATGTTTCTGCTATAGATGTCAGTGATGGTCACAGCGAGCTTCACAGAAGCGTCCCGCGACATTCAGCATGTGCCGGTTAAATTACGACAGTGTCTCTTTTATGACGAGTCTCCGTACCTTTCCTTTTATACGTACAGCGACTGCATGCTTAAGTGCCGCATGTCCTTCTTGTTAACCAATTGCAACTGTACGCCATTCAACATGCCCAAAATGGAGGACACGAGGACCTGCGACATGAGAGATGTACCATGCCTCAAGATATATAACGGTTAGTGTCGTTAAATGATTCTCATTATTGTGAACACACACTTTGTGAATAATTGAGTGGAAAAGGACAAAGGAGAAACATTACCGGATCAATTATAATTTTCATTAACTTCCACAAAATGGAACTCTGTGTACATACATACAAAGCAAACAAAACACAACTGTGGTAGGACCACGCAAAATTCTTGTGTTGCACGAATAGGCAGGTCCGTCCGGGTAAGTACCACGATCTCCCAGAAGTCCGGCGGGAAGTAGAAGTGTTATACTTCGTTGCAACCATTGACTGTGAAAGTGCCACGACCTCACGAAAGACTAACATAGAACAAACGCCTTCATGTATAGTTTTGCGTTTCTTAGTGAGGTTGGCAACCGAAGGCCTACATTGTCAGTGTTTGGTAAGATGCCGGATACCATAGTTCACATGGTTTTCCTAATTTACCATCAGGTTGCTGAGTTGCGTTCACTTTGAAAAAATATGCTCCTTTGCTTGCTTTCTATATAGGTTCCAAGGAAATGAGATTTGTTGTTGACATACACATATGGGTTTCAGAGTTAGTAAATAATTCAAAAAGTCGAGCCACATTGGCTGTTTTCTTATAAAATATAACGCAGGGTTATTTTTTACTTAAAACTTTTCAGCAAAGTCGATTGCCGTGCAGCCAAATGTGGAACACATACCTTATGATTTGGAAACCAACATGATTGATGGCAGCATCCATTGTCCGATGTGCTATCCCACTTGCTCGAAAACCGCGTATAAATATGAATTTAACAATGTGAAAATTTACCCGGAGTATCTTAACACTGTCCCCGATTGTGACCGGGTCGATTGGTTGTAAGTGGTTTTCTTCTCAGCTTGTTCTTCGTACCCTTTTAACGAATCGAACTTCGGGGGTTTAAACTCCCCATGACACTCACTGCATTGCCGTTAACGTTGCACAGTACACCTCAACTAATAATTAATATAGAATGCAAGGAAAGCTTAAAAATAATTTGTTAAATGAGGATACATAAAGCAGTTATCATACTACGTCACATTTTCTTTAAAAAAATCGATAATTGTTAATGTAATTTTTTGATAATGTTGTATACGCTGCATGTTAAAATACTTGTTATTAGTTATTGGGGTATAGAATTTAAAAATATTAACCATGTAGTATATGGCAGTTTTGGTTGAACGTTAATTTTTTTATGAAATATTCATATATTGCAACTTGAGCGTCTTCATATATTGAATTTTTAACGGTTCAGAATTCAGATACCTGATTTATGATATATTCTATGTGCAAACTTTGTGTCTGTGCTTAAAACAAAATTTTTAATTGAAAGAAAATATATTTACATTAAAAACATAATTGTATCAAAATATATTGATAGCAAAAGTCTATATGTACTATCGACGTATCTCAAAACTTTTAAAAGCGTAATTTGTTATCGGGGCTTCATTCTTGAATGCAACTTTCTCGATCTTCGATTTAGGGCTTCCTATTTCACACAACCAGGTCTTCATTTCCCTTGTTCCATTTTTGGGACCTTGCAACTGGCCGATGACGGTCCCTTGAGCGGTGTTCATCACCCAACCTTTGAGGCCCAATTCAGTGGCTTTCTTTTGAGTATGTTTTCTGAAAAAAACGCCCTGAACTTTGCCAAACACTTCAAAGTCCAACGAGACTAATCCACGCTTATTATTTTCATAGGACATTGTAAAGAATGTAATCAAACTAGGAAAATTTTCATTTGTCTTGAATTACTGACACAGCGTGTATAGCTAGTTATTTTCAAAACACAATGGAGGCACTAAGCAACCAGTATCTATGGATACAGATTGTTATAACAGATTTTTATTATAACTACGTCTATTGACATTTCGGGGTGCTATAATGGCTTTTTGGTATGGAGGGTTGAAGTACTTCAACCCTCCATACTTTTTTGGAAATAAATACGGCTACGTATTTTTACGTTTTTAAAATGAAATTTGGCCATATCATTGAACACAAAGTTGTTTTCATGTAATTTCCATAAATTATAGTTTAGTATAGAATTATTCTTATTCATACATTTTAAATGAAAAAAAAAAGAAAGTTATGAAAAGAAAAACTTGAAATATTGAAAAAAAAAAAATGTCTTAAGTAATATAATTTATTTAATAAAATGTAATCAATCGCAGAGTTTACATATTTACATGATTCATACACTTACTTCGCTGGCTCAGCGACCCTAAGAGGATCTTGGCCTCCGACACGAAAAGACGTCACTGTGCTCTGGTTGCTCTGATTGGAGAGCGCTCAGATCTTTCTGGACTTCATCTTTTCGGCGATATCTGGGATAACCAACAGAATGCTTCCCTTTTGCTTGTCCCATATATGCTCCCTTCACGGCACGATCCTCTCCATCCTCCCCAAGTCGCCGAGCCAACGCAGTCTCGCGGCTTTCGTTGCGACGATAATATTGGGTTCGGACACAAGATGTTCAATTTCCCTATTTTTCCTTATTATCCAATTGCCATTCTCGTCTAGCACCGGTCTCAGTAATTTCCCTAAGATCTTGTGCTCGGCCACTAAGAGCTGATGCTCTTCCTTTAACGGCAGTGTCCAAGCTTCACAGCATTAAGATATGTCTGATCACCGTCTTATAGACACATATCTTAGTTTTCCTGCTAATAAGCTTGGACACTAGAGGTTTATGCATGGCTGCTATGCATCTTAGGGCGTTTTGTGTTCGGATATTTATTTCATCCTCACTCTGGTTGGTTGCAGTAACCTAGGTATTTAAACTGGTTAACGTCTTTTTAGGTGACCTGACCTGACAAGGTTATCCCGGGTTCCTCTGATATTACTGTATCGTTTAACCTGTAGGTACTCAGTGCTGTCGAAAATAATTCTGACACCGATGTTTTCTACCTCAAATTGAAGGATGTCCGCCTTCCAAGGTCTTGTTTGGGCCAAGTCATCAGCA